TTAAAGTAGAGACACTACATACTGATATACACCTGAACATCAGCAGGAGAGGACTCTTTAAAGAAGAGACACTACATACTGATATACACCTGAACATCAGCAGGAGAGGACTCTTTAAAGTAGAGACACTACATACTGATATACACCTGAACATCAGCAGGAGAGGACTCTTTAAAGTAGAGACACTACATACTGATATACACCTGAACATCAGCAGGAGAGAACTCTTTAAAGTAGAGACACTACATACTGATATACACCTGAACATCAGCAGGAGAGGACTCTTTAAAGAAGAGACACTAAATACTGATATACACCTGAACATCAGCAGGAGAGGACTCTTTAAAGTAGAGACACTACATACTGATATACACCTGAACATCAGCAGGAGAGGACTCTTTAAAGTAGAGACACTACATACTGATATACACCTGAACATCAGCAGGAGAGGACTCTTTAAAGTAGAGACACTACATACTGATATACACCTGAACATCAGCAGGAGAGGACTCTTTAAAGTAGAGACACTACATACTGATATACACCTGAACATCAGCAGGAGAGGACTCTTTAAAGTAGAGACACTACATACTGATATACACCTGAACATCAGCAGGAGAGGACTCTTTAAAGTAGAGACACTACATACTGATATACACCTGAACATCAGCAGGAGAGGACTCTTTAAAGTAGAGACACTACATACTGATATACACCTGAACATCAGCAGGAGAGGACTCTTTAAAGTAGAGACACTACATACTGATATACACCTGAACATCAGCAGGAGAGGACTCTTTAAAGAAGAGACACTACATACTGATATACACCAGAACATCAGCAGGAGAGGACTCTTTAAAGTAGAGACACTACATACTGATATACACCTGAACATCAGCAGGAGAGGACTCTTTAAAGTAGAGACACTACATACTGATATACACCTGAACATCAGCAGGAGAGAACTCTTTAAAGTAGAGACACTACATACTGATATACACCTGAACATCAGCAGGAGAGGACTCTTTAAAGAAGAGACACTACATACTGATATACACCTGAACATCAGCAGGAGAGGACTCTTTAAAGTAGAGACACTACATACTGATATACACCTGAACATCAGCAGGAGAGGACTCTTTAAAGTAGAGACACTACATACTGATATACACCTGAACATCAGCAGGAGAGGACTCTTTAAAGTAGAGACACTACATACTGATATACACCTGAACATCAGCAGGAGAGGACTCTTTAAAGTAGAGACACTACATACTGATATACACCAGAACATCAGCAGGAGAGGACTCTTTAAAGTAGAGACACTACATACTGATATACACCTGAACATCAGCAGGAGAGGACTCTTTAAAGTAGAGACACTACATACTGATATACACCTGAACATCAGCAGGAGAGGACTCTTTAAAGTAGAGACACTACATACTGATATACACCTGAACATCAGCAGGAGAGGACTCTTTAAAGTAGAGACACTACATACTGATATACACCTGAACATCAGCAGGAGAGGACTCTTTAAAGTAGAGACACTACATACTGATATACACCTGAACATCAGCAGGAGAGGACTCTTTAAAGAAGAGACACTACATACTGATATACACCTGAACATCAGCAGGAGAGGACTCTTTAAAGTAGAGACACTACATACTGATATACACCTGAACATCAGCAGGAGAGGACTCTTTAAAGTAGAGACACTACATACTGATATACACCTGAACATCAGCAGGAGAGGACTCTTTAAAGTAGAGACACTACATACTGATATACACCTGAACATCAGCAGGAGAGGACTCTTTAAAGTAGAGACACTACATACTGATATACACCTGAACATCAGCAGGAGAGGACTCTTTAAAGTAGAGACACTACATACTGATATACACCTGAACATCAGCAGGAGAGGACTCTTTAAAGAAGAGACACTACATACTGATATACACCTGAACATCAGCAGGAGAGGACTCTTTAAAGTAGAGACACTACATACTGATATACACCTGAACATCAGCAGGAGAGGACTCTTTAAAGTAGAGACACTACATACTGATATACACCTGAACATCAGCAGGAGAGAACTCTTTAAAGTAGAGACACTACATACTGATATACACCTGAACATCAGCAGGAGAGGACTCTTTAAAGAAGAGACACTAAATACTGATATACACCTGAACATCAGCAGGAGAGGACTCTTTAAAGTAGAGACACTACATACTGATATACACCTGAACATCAGCAGGAGAGGACTCTTTAAAGTAGAGACACTACATACTGATATACACCTGAACATCAGCAGGAGAGGACTCTTTAAAGTAGAGACACTACATACTGATATACACCTGAACATCAGCAGGAGAGGACTCTTTAAAGTAGAGACACTACATACTGATATACACCTGAACATCAGCAGGAGAGGACTCTTTAAAGTAGAGACACTACATACTCATATACACCTGAACATCAGCAGGAGAGGACTCTTTAAAGTAGAGACACTACATACTGATATACACCTGAACATCAGCAGGAGAGGACTCTTTAAAGTAGAGACACTACATACTGATATACACCTGAACATCAGCAGGAGAGGACTCTTTAAAGTAGAGACACTACATACTGATATACACCTGAACATCAGCAGGAGAGGACTCTTTAAAGAAGAGACACTACATACTGATATACACCAGAACATCAGCAGGAGAGGACTCTTTAAAGTAGAGACACTACATACTGATATACACCTGAACATCAGCAGGAGAGGACTCTTTAAAGTAGAGACACTACATACTGATATACACCTGAACATCAGCAGGAGAGAACTCTTTAAAGTAGAGACACTACATACTGATATACACCTGAACATCAGCAGGAGAGGACTCTTTAAAGAAGAGACACTACATACTGATATACACCTGAACATCAGCAGGAGAGGACTCTTTAAAGTAGAGACACTACATACTGATATACACCTGAACATCAGCAGGAGAGGACTCTTTAAAGTAGAGACACTACATACTGATATACACCTGAACATCAGCAGGAGAGGACTCTTTAAAGTAGAGACACTACATACTGATATACACCTGAACATCAGCAGGAGAGGACTCTTTAAAGTAGAGACACTACATACTGATATACACCTGAACATCAGCAGGAGAGAACTCTTTAAAGTAGAGACACTACATACTGATATACACCTGAACATCAGCAGGAGAGGACTCTTTAAAGAAGAGACACTACATACTGATATACACCTGAACATCAGCAGGAGAGGACTCTTTAAAGTAGAGACACTACATACTGATATACACCTGAACATCAGCAGGAGAGGACTCTTTAAAGTAGAGACACTACATACTGATATACACCAGAACATCAGCAGGAGAGGACTCTTTAAAGTAGAGACACTACATACTGATATACACCTGAACATCAGCAGGAGAGGACTCTTTAAAGTAGAGACACTACATACTGATATACACCTGAACATCAGCAGGAGAGGACTCTTTAAAGTAGAGACACTACATACTGATATACACCTGAACATCAGCAGGAGAGGACTCTTTAAAGTAGATACACTACATACTGATATACACCTGAACATCAGCAGGAGAGGACTCTTTAAAGTAGAGACACTGGATACTGATATACACCTGAACATCAGCAGGAGAGGACTCTTTAAAGTAGAGATACTACATACTGATATACACCTGAAAATGTGTTTTTGATGTCCTCTTTAACATATTTAATTCAGTTGAGTTTAATGACGGCTAAGTATCAGGATGACACTAAAAGGGAAAGAAGACTCACAAATAGGTTGGGAAAAGATGATTTTCAGACAAATCAAATGCCCCATAACTGGAACTAAAAAGCAGAAATTAAACGATCGAAATGACATCAAGCGATAACTTAATTTGTCCTTGACTGAATCTGAACTGAATTAAACTTATATTTAACATTCTTCATTAAATCAATAATATAAAAAGTAAACTCTCGGTAACCTCTTCGCGTGAGATTTTTGTGTGTGCGTGTGTGCATGGACTCAGATATAAAGAGATGAAAGAAAGATGTCACGGCCCATCGTCTTCCCCCTCTTCCTCCTCGGTGAGATGGCAAAGGGCGTAGATCTGTCCCTCGGTGTATTCTGCAGCGTGGGAGTCAAATAAAAGTAAAATAAAACTGCACTCAAAGACAAAATGACTTCTGGGTGAAGTGAGGAAGTTTTCTCCTTTCAAACCTTAAGTGGTGTTCGGGTCAAAGTGACCTGTTTTAACTTTAAAAAATAAGATGTTTTGTAAAACCTGAAACTTCATGGCCTTGCCTTTTTATCTGTAAAGAAACTGATCAAACATGATGTAATGATTTGTTCTTTTACTTTTGCATGCTAGATTTGATAAGATTTAGATAAGACAGACTTCATCAATCCCAAAATGAAATAAGTATTTGTAAAAAGTTGGCAAATTAAATACCGAAATTTGTGAAATAAAGTATATTTACTTTAAAAAATAAGAAATGCATTCAATATTTGTTTTACTTTTTTGATTAGAGTCGGATATTCTTTATTCATCACAAATTATGAAATTCATTTGGCAAGTATGGCTACTTTAAAAGATTGGAAGTAAATTTCGCAAATTTAAATGAATAAAGCATATTCTGAATCTAATTGAATGAAAAAAATTACAAATACTAAGAGACCCCCTCACATGTATGTCCTTTTAACAATGAAAATCTGTTTTAAATTTGAAACGTGAATGAAAAGATCGTTTCATATCAAAAGTGTTTATTATAGTGGGTTATTTTTGTGTAAATAAGAACTATAATACATGTGTTACATTTGATCTAGCAGAAAGCATTTGCTATCAAGAATTATATATGTATCTAAAATGTTGGGAATTTATATCAAAACAATATTTGTAATTGCAAGAGTTAATTCTCAATTATCTTCTTTTTTTCTGTGTCCCTTCATTCCCCAGCCCCTTCTTCCCGAGATGTCAGACGCAGGGTGATCCTCGATGTGTCGACCCTAGAACAGATGCTTTCCTTCATATGCAAACGCCTCCTGTTTCCTTTGAGACATCCTCGCCATCTTCTTTGAGCGTGGAAGTGCGTTCAGGTGCAATCGATCCTAATCCTTACACCCGAAGTCTACGTAAACCTGGACGTCGTCATAGCAACTCCCCGCCTCCTCCGTTTCGCTCCTGCTCCATCCCCATCATCCCCTCCGTCCAGTATCACAACGACAACGAGGCGTCTTGTATGCAAACCAGCGTCTCCTCGGCAACCAGGACCATGTCTTCAGGAGGAGGAAAGGAAGCAAGGAGAGAGAAAACGGCAGCACATGTTGTCGCGTTGTCTTCTACTTCCTGCTCCTCTGCTATTGGTCAAGAGCGGGATGAGGTGGCGCTGCTATTGGAGGAGGCTCAGGAGCAGCTCAGGAAGTTGGCGTTGGCAAACAGGAAGCAGGAAGTGGAGGCCAGAGAAACTGTTTGCTTCCTGAACCTTAATGGAGGAAGTGTTGGGGCGCTGAGCTGCAATGGACCAACGCAAACACAGCTGCTCACCCCCAGCCTATCACACAGAGACCTGGGCCAAATCAGCCAATGAGAGGACTCCATTTAGGACTTTCACTTTGACAGTGTTTGACAGACTATTGTGTTCTGTAGGACACCGAATTGAAAAAAAACAACATGTAATATCATGGAAAATGTGCTGGTGATATGCATTCTGTACGGATCGAACACTGACCGCCTTTACACTGACTGACAGTATGGAAGAAAAAAAATATTTACATGCATTTATTTACAAAAACAAGAGAAACACTTAGGCAAAAAGAAACCAAATAGTCTGTCAACTCCATGGTGTTTTTAACTGTAAAAAGAATATATAAATATATATATAAATATATATGGATATAAATATATGGAATTCAAAAAGTGACCAAGTACAAAGTTGAAGAACACAGGAATGATGTAACTTTTGTTTTCTTCTCCTTCTCCCTGTTTTTGTATTAACTCAAGTCACGTGTTTGGGTTTCGGCTCTAGAGAAAGAGAAAGACTTCGTTATCGCCGCACGATTCTGTGAGCCTGTACAGAATCCAATATGGCCGACAAGGAAGGAGCTTCTTCACCGATTTACCTTTTGAAAAACTTGTCTACCCAGCCAAGAATACACTTAAAGGATTTACAAACAAAAAATTCCACGGCCGTGAGGTGAGGTGAGGTGTGGTGTGTGTGTGTGTGTGTGTGTGTGTGTGTGTGTGTGTGTGTGTGTGTGTGTGTGTGTGTGTGTGTGTGTGTGTGTGTGTGTGTGTGTGTGTGTGTGTGTGTGTGTGTGTGTGTGTGTGTGTGTGTGTGTGTGTGTGTGTGTGTGTGTGTGTGTGTGTGTGTGTGTGTGTGTGTGTGTGTGTGTGTGTGTGTGTGTGTGTGTGTGTGTGTGTGTGTGTGTGTGTTGTTGCGTGCGTGCGTGCGTGCGTGCGTGCGTGCGTGCGTGCGTGCGTGCGTGCGTGCGTGCGTGCGTGCGTGCGTGCGTGCGTGCGTGCTGAAATGCAGCAAGAGAAGAAGAAAAAACCTGGAAGCTTCTACAGTTGGTCAGATTTGGGAGATTGTTAAAGACAGCTTACATGGACGCTGACTCCCTATTGGTCGAACCAATCTAGATTACTTTAGTTTTTTTTACAAATGGTATTTTCACACAGACACGCACACACACTCACTTGTGCATTCATTGTTGGACGGTCAGATGAAGGACATAAAGAAGGACATAAAGAAATCGCCACAAGTGGAACTAATCTGACATTTTGTTTTGTTTGTTTTTCCATTTTTGGTTATCAATGAACAATGCTGCTTTCTGGGGCTGAAGGGAGGGAGAACACACGGTTTGGGGTATTGAAACAAATAAATGTCTCTATGTTGTATCCTATGAATTGGAAGCTTTTGAATCTCTGTATGAACTTACAGCCAAACGTTTCTGGTGACAAAAAGTAAAAAATGGTTGCAATTCTGGTAAAGATTTTTCAAAATAACAGTTGTTTCAGTTGATTGCTTCAAATACATGTATGACTCCCTCAAAGCAACATGCATGTACATCAGTCTGGTTTACTTCACTTATTTGTTGGCCTTTTCACACATGGTGTAAACTGGCTTCATACCAGTATTCACCAATATCTATCTATGGTAGTACCCTCTCTTCACCAAGCTGCCTGGAGAAATCAATGACAAATAATGTTTTAAAACATGGTTTCATTTCAAAATGCCATACTATACATACGTAAGTGTTTCCATCCATAAAACTCTGTGATTGATGTCAAAACCCATATGGGACAGGATTTAATTTCATTAGTAACTCTTGAATGAAAGTCAAATACTAAAGGGGGTTCCTACTGAGGGTTAAGGATATGTACGGTGGACGACAGGGACAAACGTGCTACAACGACCAAAAACACTTTGAAATACTGAGCATATGTTAAAACACAAATTTGCCAAAACACATGCATGCAAATAGCCTGTTTCATAATTGTATTTTGTCAATCATTTGAAATTAGGTTAGCTATGTTAGCTAGCTAGTTTACACCAGATCTGCAATAGCACTTGAAGGAATCAATGTGATCATATTATTGTTATTATTATCATAAGGGCGGTGGTGGCGAAGTCGATAGGGACTTGGCTTGGCAACTGATAGGTCACCAGTTCAAGTCCCGGAAAGACCAAGTGCTACCGAGGTGTCCCTGAGCAAGGCACCGTTCCCTACACTGCTCCCTGGGCGCCGTACATAATGGCAGCCCACTGCTCCTAACAAATGCAGAGAAACCGTTTCGTTACATGGTACCTGTACTGTGTAATGACAATACATTCAATCTAATCTAATATTGTGTAAATAAGCCAATAAAACGTACATTTTAGGTCAGTTTCCAGTTTGTCGGCCACCGAAGATACCGATGATAATATTCTTTTAAAATAGACACAGAGGAAGGAAACAATCAAGGACTTGGTCCGCCCAAGTCCTTGCAACTACATTTAAACATTTCAGATACATTTGATTTGGGAAAACAAGCCAACCTTATTGTATAAGCACAAGTAACACCAACATTCAGTTTAATGCCTTCGCAAAAGTGTCCGGGGGCTTGAATTGTAAACATTTACTCTTGGATTCTACTTCAGAAATACTATGTTATAGAGCTCTCTTGTGGTTTTGATAAGAAATATATCTTTCAGAACACCTAAAGCAGCCCTTTTTCGAACTTTGTGAATGTGGCGTCTTAAAAAACGTACTTTTTAAACCATCTTTTTCTCTGTGTGATCGGCGCTCTACGGTTCAGAACGGTCTGATCCAATAACGCAACACTCTGGATATATAAAGTACCTGCAAAATCAAACCTGCACTCGTCAAATCCTTCCTTGGGAAGAAGCGCCTGAATGGCACGGCTAAATCTTATTCAACACACACACACACACACACACACACACACACACACACACACACACACACACACACACACACACACACACACACACTAGCATATATAAATCAGCCAAGAGCTTTCTGTCTGTCTTTCTTCCTTATTTTATTTGTATTAAAGATTTAGTTTGCCATCCTGCAATTCAACCCCCAAAGGCTCTCTCTATATCAAATTGTTCGACCGCAACAGTTTTGGTTATTTGATACTGATGTCCTTGATTGCATTATGTCCTCACAGGAACACACACAGGTGGCATATGGAGGGGTGTTGTGCTTCTGTACACACACACAGTGCAGAGAACAATGTGACTGTGTTTGTTTGACCAACTGTAATCAGTGTATGAGCTTTTAAACAGATAAAAGTCTGCAAGCATCGTCTGGATTTGTTTTGTTATCTGAGATGATCCGGCAATATTTATCCACTGCATGTTTTTACAACATGAACGTTATGTTTCATCGGAGCCTCTCACACAATTTCACTTTTTTCAATTAGTATGAGGTATTACTTCAAGGCAACTGCATGTACTCCTGTACATCTGAGCATCGGAAAGTATATAGTAGAAGACAGAGAAAGGAGTTCAGTGCTGCTTTCCATTCTGAGCCTCTGCTCAGATTGGTTTCACATGTGTCCTTGATTGAGCATGACTTCACATCCTGCTGGTTTAACATGACCAGAAGCATTGGAAGAATGATGAGAGTGAACACTTATAAAACTTCTCCTTGTATTAGAGACTGATTCAGAAAGCCTTCTTCCTTACAGTCAAACTTGTATTTGCTGTTTTTGTTCTAAGATACATTTGGAGTTTAATGGTGTTTATTTAAATCCAGAATCAAACCTGAACCAGGCAATAAACACATCCAGGGGAAAATAGGGTTTTAAAATACAGGCAAACCCTCCCTAGTATAATCATTTGGTGTTCTTCACTAAAGCATTTTCCACTGCTTAATTGCATCCCTGTATTTGTCTCTGTGTCTAAGTCTGACTGTTTAGCAAGAGGGCTTTGATTATCATAAACCAGAGATGAGTGTTGGCTTGCAGACGGAAGTATAACAATTTCTGGCTTCAATAAATACATCTGGATGAAATAGTTTGAATTGATCGAACAGGAGGGATTTTATCAGTTTGTGTGTGTGTGTGTGTGTGTGTGTGTGTGTGTGTGTGTGTGTGTGTGTGTGTGTGTGTGTGTGTGTGTGTGTGTGTGTGTGTGTGTGTGTGTGTGTGTGTGTGTGTGTGTGTGTGTGTGTGTGTGTGTGTGTGTGTGTGTGTGTGTGTGTGTGTGTGTGTGTGTTAGCATGCATGTTCTACTCGTTTATGCATGTTTTAGTGTCAACATTTATTGTTTCACCGTTCCTGCTGAATGGCCTCCTCTATTCACACATAAGTCAGCAGCGCGGCACGGATACACATCCAGATAACCAACTTCAATGAAAAGCTAAAATGTTCTGCTTTGGAAATTGGGTTTGAACTGAATGATGCCTGACATTTATATGGAAAGAAATGTACCTTGCACAGCAGCTGAATTCTCTGAGAAATCACACGAAAATATCAAAAGATCACACATAGATCCATGATGTAATGTCCGAGGAACCACAGTGAAACCAACCAATCACCGTCCTTTGAAGAGCAAATGGCAGCTAGGGCCGTGGTTTAGGTGACGAGACACAAAGAGACGACTGTTTGAAACAGAGATGGCTCCGAAAAAGGTGAGTACTGATGGTGAATGGTGCATTAATGTGTCCTAAAACCACGGGAAAGACGGAGCATGTAACCACGTCTGGTTCCCTTGTCTCGAAGTAGGTGGTTATTTGAAAGTAATAATAATAATAATAATCCTTATATTTATTATAGCGCTTTATCAAAGACTCTCAAAGCACTTTACAAATACACATTACACATACAGATCATACATGTAATGGTCATCTACTAAAGTGTAAGGGTTAAGGTCAGAAAATACTCCACTCGCGAATGGAGAATGTAAGTTTATGTGTCAGTACAAGGCGGTTGCTAACAAGTGACAAAATAAACGACTAAATGCCATTGCGACATGATGTTTGCTTCAAAGTCCCAGAGTGGAGATTATCATGCTGAAAAAAACATGTAAGTATCATAAATGTGTGTTGTCCACAAAGCTTATATTCCGCAATATACCAAAATCCTACGGGGAAATCCAACTGCTTTTTGTCAAAGGACCCGTTGCGATTCTTACTCATCACTACACGACTCTCTATTTCTTTATCGAAAGAAGAACTGAAGGTTTTTCTCAATGGAAAAGGTGAAGAGATACTGCTTGTTGAAACTGCCTTCCCTCTTTCCCAAACAGTTTCCAATGACAGCTTCTCAAACCATCTTGAG